CACAGACCAGACGGTTTTTATGTAGAGGAGCTAAAACTATATATGTATGTAAAAAATGCTACCTAAAACTTTAGGTCCATTATATATTTTAACCTACGTGTCGTACGACGAAAACCCAGAAATTCAAAATGGCCGAACAGCTCGACAGACGATCTCAAATAATAATAAATAAACAAGACACTATTCAAATATTCTGTAAAACATCAAATCAAACTTGGACAAGGATATTATTACTTAGCAACAACATTTTCAGTAAGAGACCATAGATAATAGGCCTTATAACATCACGTCCTTGTTGGGAACCGTTAATGTGGGCATCACGCATTTTTATTAACACGGCAAACAGTGGTGGCGTGTCAGAATGTATGTCACATTAGATATGTTATTAAGACGTATGTTTTGAAGGTTTCTTTTCATCATATGGACCAACTGATGTTAAGCAATGGAACGACACTTTGTGTGATCCACGAATTGTGAGTTCTGAGTCTGTGTGTTCTTTGTGTCCGTTTCATGTGTGTTTGTAAAGTCCCCCGCGACACAGGATATATTCCTATTGCGGGAGTTGTCTTTAAAAAAAATAAAAGACTAAAGTACCTGTACCTCACTTACTTTATCTCTACTGAAACTATTTCGATGCGAGTATACGACTCACATTATTCCGTATACACGCCTTTATACCACACACATTTCAACAACTGTACTAACTCACCCGCTTTTGTTCGCCTGCGTCTCTAAGAAAGGAACAAGTTTTGGTTGTTTTTCCAGAATTTTTCATTTATGCTAGGCTGCTATTGGTCGAAGCTTCTAGGAGCTATTTTGTATCAAATCAAATTTGTTAAAACGAGTAAAGATGGAGAAGTGGGAAGAATATTAAAAGATATAAAAAGAAAGGTATGCCTAGAGGGGTGGATAAAGGTGTTTAAGTTATAGCACGAGAAAGTCTACACCTGCCGGTACTGATGCAGGGAGTGTGAGCCTTCTGACTAGGTACTGGTTCTACGAGTACTTCGGCCTAGTTAGGTGTCGTTCTGGTGGGGATCTGAAATCCCATAACCCGGGACCTCCCCAGAGTAGGAAGCCCGAGGACGGCCGTTGAGGTGGTTTTCAGCGAAAACACCACATACTCCTGACTCCTGTGCATACAAGGAGCCGGAGATCCGAAGGGATTTTTCACCCCACTACCAAAAAAAAGATACTTACTGGTTACATCTCTACTCGTATATTATATTTGTAATAAAAATACAAACGTGTTTGTCTTCTTCTATATGTATTTACTGCTATGCTAACCGCACAAACACAACATTAGGAAAAATCACGAATACTCATTGTGAATTCTGCGCATGAGCAGTTTCGCGTGGACTTGGACGCGTCCTAAATATATTATTAATTGTCGAAATATCAAGCCTTGCGGGGTCAAACGGATCTCAAGAACAGACTAATTGTTCATTACATGAATGCATATAAAAATAATTTTAAATAATAGCAGAAACTGTAAGATTCTTCATACATAATTTACACTTAACTTCAGAACTACCAAAAGAAGGTTAAATAACAAACCGAAATATAAATTAGAAAATATTTTTATTAGAAAAACATCGTGGTCGGGTCTTGGGAACATCAAATTTTATCAATAGTTCATAAGTCCATAGCTGTATAAAAAAAGAGTTATAAATATTTTGTACTTTTAAACCTAAAAAATTGTTTAATAGTAAACCTACCTAAAACACAGGTTGTCATTAACAGTGTTTCTTCAAACTATCTTGTCTTTAAATGTTTTTGAGCTTATCTTGTGTGTAGAATTTGTGTGTACGATAAAATCAGCTGATTCCCTACTTTTTACTTGAAGTGATTTTATTGGCACACCTAGATAAGATATGATTAAAGTTTAAAATTTTAAAAAGTCAAAGATTTATATTTAAGAATTAATTTACAGAAAAACGAGAATGAACAAGCAACTACAATATAGGTACTAAGACTAACAGTAACTCTGCATCGCATAATAAAAGTTTTTTTTATTTATTTCGCAATAGGAATATATCCTGTGTCGCTTGGGACTTTACAAACATACATGAAACAGAACAACAATTTGTTGATCACACAAAGTGTCGTCCCATGTGGGGTTTGAACCGGTTTTACGCGGCGCTGCGACCGCTTAAACCACTACGCCATCCGTGCAGTCCCACGCGGAAAATACGGCTTCCCAAAAAGATATCTAAACATAGCTATAAGTTCTTGAATTTTCTATTTACCATTAAACTATAGTATAAATATACAGATTTATAAGTTCCTTGTCTTCCTTGCTAATTTATTTGTGGGTCTAGTGGTTAGTGACCCTCACTGCTAAGCCGGAGGTCGTGGGTTCGATTCCCACCCAGGACCAATAATTGTGTGATGAGCACGATCATTTGTTCTGTGTATGGGTGTAATTTATCTATATTATGTATGTATTTAGAAATATATAAGTATGTTTATCAGCAGTCTGATTACCATAGTACAGGCTCTGTCTAGTTTGGGATCAGACGGCCGTGTGTGAGATGTGTGAAATTATTATATTATATTATTATTCATCGTCGTTTATAGTTTTGTTACTCCTAATTTAATGAAAAACACCACACAATGTTTGTCTAATAATCTCTATCACCCATTAGCCTATCCTCTCAAGTACCTTGTAATAAATCTTATATAGCTGTTTCATGCACGCGAGGCCTCAAACCTCGAACTTAACTGCTATCATACAGCCACTCACGAAGGTGATATTAATCATAGACTATCACGACATCTTCGGCTGAAGAACCTTTAAACGCACATATTAAATTGCATTCAACCTGCATTTGTGTATATCATCTGTAATCAATGGGATGTTCAGGTTAGTGATGTTGTGATCATCTAGTTTATCTAAGAACTAGCACAGTTAAGAGCAAAATTGTCACTGCCAGGGAGAATAATAGAGATAAAATACCTGGTGTAGCACATTTTTTTTCCAGCAGGCAGGCAGGCTTCCAAACTAGGTAGAGCCTGTACTATGGCACCCTGCTGGTAAACATACTTATATATATCTAAATACATACACATTATAGATGACCGGATGGCGTAGTAGTTTGTGTAACGGACTGCTATTCCAAAGGTCGAGGGTTCGATTCCCGCTCAAGTCAAATATTTGTGTGCATGAACATTTAATGTTTGATTTGGTCTGGGTGTTTTTATGTATAATATGTATATTTTGGGTACATAGTACTATAGTTTGGCACTAAATGGCGTTGTCTGAATGTGGTTAACTATTATTATTATATTACACCCAGACACAACAAGCGTGCTCATCAGACGATCATTTGTCCTGTGTGGAAATCGAACCTACGACCTCCGACTTAGCAGTCAGGTTCACAAACCACTAGAGCAACAGGACTGTCAAACCAATTTAAATTACTTTGCAAGTCACACATTAAAGATAAATTGAACATTCCCGGCAAGAAAGCACATTTCTAACACATGTTTATTGATGCAGACCTCATTGTAGGCATTTACACTGTATGGAACAGTGAATATACGACAACGACAACTATTTTGCATGTTATGAGGTTCGGTGAGGACCCATGATCACATTTTGAAGGACCCCCCGGGATTTGCCCCATCTTGATTTCTAAGAAACTGCGTATTTAACCGTCGAAAACCTTTCCCATACATATTTTAACGCACAGTTCTGTCAAAAAAAAATTTGAAAATTCATGGATTGTGTCAGTACTAAAAATGATGGATACAAGAAAGGAAAAACACATTTCCGGCACATTCCAGACTGACAAAATGCCTGTGACGGTTTTGGGTACAAAAATTAAATAAGTAAACACTTTCGTGAGTTGTATTCTTATTTATTTAAGATCCCGTTGTACACACACACGTGTCTAAATTTAATGTTGAATTAAAAAAATCATAGTTCCCACGCTGTTATTTCTTGTCGTGATATTCCGTAGTTGTTGAAAAAGCAAGCAAATGTGTTAAACACATCTAAACCAATCGCGGTTTTACCTCAGTTGCACTATTATTACTGTATGTTATGTAGTATGAGTGTTATTGCACCGCACGCCCGTCAACACCATCCGCAGCAGCCCGCAACCACATACCTCTGTTACGGTGTCGTACCTCTGTTACGTTACGGTGTCGTACCGCAAGGTATAACAGCTTAATAGTACCTTCACTCAGTATGCATAAACGCGCTTCTGAACATGTCAATTCACGATTTTGCGTATAATAATACAAAGTTGGTACTTGAAAAGGATATTTCTATTTTAAATGGTTTTTACTGCAATCCGTTGCAACAACGCATTGACTCTCCAACAATAAACGTCATATGTTTTGATTTTATGATCATTATATGTATGTAAGTATGTGTATTACAAATTTCTTTCTATCATCAATACAGTGCTTAAAATACCTGGGGTACTTGCAGTTTCATCTGTATTGCAAATTAAATATGGTTTATTTTATCGTGTGCGTATGATTTCTTATGCGAATCGGACTATTTGCCTTTACGACAAAATAAAATTGAATTGTCAGTTTGTGATATTACAATAACAGTGTTTAACTATAAGTCTCTGAATGTGCGGTACTTACCAGAAAATCTGTGTATTTTTTATCTGTTTGACTGTCGGTTTGTTACGCTATATCTTCGTAACGACTAGACTGATTTCGACAGGACTATTACTGCCATATATCTGATGTTGTAAGGAGTAAAGTAGAAGAAGTAAGATAACAAGATAACACGGATATGTTCTAATATTCTAATTGACCACTTCAGCTAAGTTAACTGCTTGTGTTAGCAATGGGGTCATGTCTGTAGTGTACAAGTTAGGACTCAAACTTGTAGTCACTCGGACGCAAGCCTATTAGGAAATCTTATCAGCATCGGTATATGTTTAAATTTAAGTTCTAATTGTACTAGGTGAGTTCTATCTCCAGAACACTGGTTCGTGTAACACATATTAACAGTATGTTGTCTTTTGTTGCAGCCCTCCCACATTCAAGACCCTGACGCCGACGTCACGTACACAGCTCAAGCAACAGTTGATGCGAGAGCATGCACAGGAGCAACTGCGAAGAGAATCTTTACAAGTTAGTATTATTATTAAAAAAAACAGACACACAAGCTTTTAAAATACAAACTCTACTTAGTTTGAAACTAGATAGTTTCAAACTAAGTAGAGTTTGTATTTTAAAAGCTAGATTGACTGATAAAATATTTATATACTCTATTGTTTGTAAATACATACCAATTATACATAGAAAACACCCAAGCCCGAAACAAATATTTACAAATCAAACAAACACGGGAATAGACCCCGAGACCTCAGCACAGCAGTTGCATACGCTATCACTGCACCACCGCAGCTGTCACTATATAAGTATATTCCCCTAGAAGGGCTATTAATAGGAGTGAGATAAAATAATACTACCTACATGGTTATGATTTGACTGTCCCGGTAGTCCTGACTACATAGCAAGATGTCGGGGATTCGATTTCCACCCAGCACAAATAGTTGAATGGCGAATACAATCATCTGTTCTGTATCTGGGTGTGATATTTATATTTTTTAACTAGGAGCACTAAGAATTTATCCTGACTCTTCTGTTCTGTTTCGGTAGGACTTTACAAATATTCATAAAACGGATACAAAGAACACCTAGACTCAGAACAACAATTTGTGAATCACACAAAATGTTGCCCCTTGTATGTGGGGATCGAACCCAAAACATTCAGCGTAGTAGGAAGTAAAAGCTCTACGACATTCGTGCAGTCACTTATCTACATCATAAATTTTTTTAGTATAATATTTAAGCAGTTTGGTTGCCATATCCGTGTGGTGACGGATTAAGAATACACCACCCCTCTTCATCCCGTGGGTGTCGTAAGAGCCGACTAAGGAAGAAAACTCCTCAGAACAACAGCACTGCAGAGAGAAGGAAAACTTGACATAAACCCTATACTAACCCGTCTGGCCAGCGTGGTATAGTAGGTCAAAACCTCCTTTCTAAGAAGAGGCTTATGTCCAGCAGTGGACTATTAAAGGCTGTTGATGTCATGATGATGGTTGCATAACAGGATCTGCCTAATTAGCGATCCGACGGCCGTGTTAGATGTATCGAGTTAATATTGATTATGCAATATTGTTGCAGGCACAACAGGCAGGCCAGTCCAAAGATAATGAGGACAAGAAGAAGTCATCTCCGGCGGAGGTGCCGAGGATCACGCCTCACGTCGAACTACCTCCACAAGTATTACAGGTAATGTAACCGTAGATTTAAATTAGTTTCTTTTAAAAAGCCACTTCCAAGGCCCTGTGTTGAATCGTGAAACGTTTGGTAAATCTATATCTATTCTATGTTTACACGGTACATATGCCAAAATAACATTTTTTACCATTTTTGTCTACGGAACTTAATCTCTGGAACGGCTGGACCGATTTCAACGGGACTTTCACTGGCAGATAGCTGATGACATAAGGAGTAACTTAGGCTACTTTTTTTAGACTAGCTTCGCCCCGCGGCGTTGCCCGCGGTTATAACAACAAACGCGGGTAACACCGCGGGTCTCAGCTAGTCACAAATAAAACATACGAGCTTTTGCCCGCAGCTATGTTGGTCATAGTCGGACTGCGATCCTTTCGGTGATGAATATCACGTAACAATGATTTTTCTGTTGATGTTGATATTATATATATTATATTATATACCTACATATATATTTTAAAAATGATTTAGGGATTTTAATTGTTACTCTTGATTAATGTACTAGGTTTTAAGTAGTTTTAGTGAAATAAATTAAAAAAAAAAAAATTGTCTGTCATCTAAATCGGTTCAGTGGTTATTTTTTTTTTAAAGACAACTCCCGCATTAGGACTTTACAAACATACATGAAACGGACACAAAGAACACCCAGACTCAGAACAACAATTTGTGGATCACACAAAGTGTCGTCCTATGTGGGGATCGAACCCACCACACTTGACGTAGTTGTAAGCGGCGTGGCAACCGCTTAAACCACTACGCCATCCGTGCAGTCATTATTGATAATATACAGTACAGTAATATTGATTTCGCATACAAACTTCCACCCCCCTTTTCACCACCTTTAAAGATGATTTCTTTAAAAAAATATATCCTATGTCCTTTCCCGGGACTCAAACTATCTCTATTCCAAAGTTCATCTAAATCGGTTCAGCGGTTTAAGCTTGAAGAGGTAACAGACAGATAGACGGATAGACACACTATCGCAAACTAAAAGATACGTGGACATTGCCGCGGTTATATTTCTGTTACACATGTTATGTGGTATAGTGATAAGAAAGAAAGAGAAAGAATACCTCTATTTTACTACTCTATTGGGTGCGTATGTATTAGAAAATAGTTATCGCTTGATGAAAACATGATGAGGAAACTGGACAACTGGCTGTGATGTTATTATTCTAAGTAAATGCAAAAAGCATTTATCCTTTTAAACTACCACAACATTTCATACTTTTCCTACGTTTTCCGTGTCCGAGAGGTGCCATAACAATTTGTACTTTTATTTATTATAACATTTATAAATATAACATTGTGGTGTGTAATCAAAAAAATATCAATCGAACTTTCGTGCCTTTCGTGGCGCCTTCATTTAACATGATAAGATATTCAAAGATATATAGAAATTAATTATTTTAATCAATAATTTATCACTTATCTTTTGTTATTTCTTGTGAATTAAGTGGGTTACTTGGTAGTCATGTCTATTCCCAAGCTACTTCTTTTTCAAAAGTCATTCTGATCGTTACAGAACCTTAGGCACAGCACCTCAACAAACAGACTTACCTTTTCTCATCTTTATCAGCCTATCAGCTCTATTGAAGGTAGTAATTATGTTTTCCATACGTTTGCAGGTGCGAACAGTTCTGGAGAACCCCACCAGGTATCACGTGATACAGAAACAGAAGAGTCAAGTGCGTCAGTACCTCAGTGAATCATTTCAACCACAAGCACAGGTAAGTAATACTAATACGTACATGTATTTTCCGTGTGGTGACGGATTAAGAATACGGAGTGTCACCCCTATTACTCCCGTGGGTGTCGTAAGAGCCGACTAAGGGAGCAAACTACGCAGGATAACAGCACTGCAAAGAGAAGCCCGTCTGGCCAAGGTGGAATTGTAGCCTCTCCTTACAAAGGAGGTTTGCTTTAAGAGGCCTATGTTCAGCAGTGGTCTATTAAAGACTGTTGATGATGATGATAATGTATATGTGTTATTGTTTTGACTGGTTTAGAGTCCTAACATGCTGTGAATATGCTGTGGTTAAATCTACAAAATTTTATTGGATGGAAGTGCTGTGGATACCCAGGAGAACTGTATGATATGGTATAGTTATTCATTTATTCTGATGTCATTTTTGTTTTGCAACAGAACAGAATGGAACAAAATCCTAAGTTGATTTTTGCTACATTGACCAATAGGGAATATGCACTGAATGAATATGACTCCAAAATGGACAAAATATTTTTATTTGTAAACTTTATTGCTAAAAAACATACCTATACAACTAGTTTTGAAATTTATCATAATTTAATAGTGAAATTTAATCATCAAAAAGTGGCTTTTTTTAAATTCCCTCGCAAATTTTTGATACGCAACGCTATTGGTGTAACAGAACGTGACGTCAAATTTCACTCGACGTCTTCTGTCAACAAGTTGTTTGCATCGTTTCTGGTTTATTATTTTGTATTCTTTCGATGTTCTTTCATAATACGTAATTCGTTTTCTGTGTTAAAGTATTAAAACCTTGTGAAGAAAGACTTAACACAATGACTGAAACCGGTTTTGTCATAACACAATTAGAGGATCTTCCTAAAATAGACGTGTTTATGATGATCATAAATTATTTAATACATGGGTATACAATTATTTTTAATCTGAAACCCAGATATAAGAATTAGAAAGGTAAATAAAAATAGTTCCCTCTTACTCTAATAAGTACGTAAATGTTTTCATTCATAGGTAAGCACAGGCAATACTCTTATGGATAAATACCTATGTATTAGATACTGAGAATGTAATTATTTTAAGTACTAGCCAAACATGTTTTGTGGCTTATTATACACATACATACAAACTTATGTAATTCTTAATAATACAACATAGTCTTGAAATGTATTGTGAAAGAATAATAACGGCGTGCGGGATCTATGGACCCCCGGTTCGAAGATAAATTATCGAGTAGACTCAGCTCAGCAGCATACACAGTAAGGAAATTCAAGAGTTGACTGCTAATGTAGTATGGTAATCCACTGTTTGGGATACCGACATTCAAACAATTTTTGTGCTACAATGAGAGCAATTCGAACAAATTATAATTTAGGCAATCGTTGTTCATTGAGGCAGAAACTTAAAGAAAAAATAAAATGACAGTGACAGTGATGTCAAATTATATATGAAAATGTAATATACTTATGTTCATAAAAACAAAGATAGCTTTTCGATAAGAAGTGATGTACATTCTATAAATACCAGAAATAGGAATAAACTTGTATCTGCCTCTAGGCTCCAAAAGATAAACAAGTAATTTCACAGATTTTAGAATTTATAATAGAACAGATTTTATAATAAAATCCCAAATAATATACAAGACTTAAGTACAAATAAATTTAAATCCGCCATAAATTATGTCAGAAAGCCTACTACTCAATTGTGGATTACATAGAAGACAAGAATACTTGGGATTAATTTAGCACAGCATTACTTAAGTGTAAATATGAAAGTAAAAGTGTGCGCTAGTGTGGATTTTATTATTTTATTTATGTTTTCGTCACTTTCATCGATCGAGATTACGATTACCTCGATCGAGACCGCACGGATGGCGATCGATTTACTCTGAGTTGTTTTTTTTCTAATCTTAAACCTTCAGATAAATAACATTTAAAATCGTAAAATATCATAGCACTCAAATTTTCACGTCTAAGGAAGCTTAGACGTGAATGAAGATTGGAGCAGACGAAAAAGCGGGAAATCATGACAGTATGATACTTTAACTTTTTTTTTACTGCTTTAAATAGTATTTTGTGTTCGATTTTAAAATATTTGCTTTTTAATAATATATGACAGATGCGTTCCATTTTCAAATTTCGAACATCTCAAAACTTATATAGGACCTACGTAAAAGACTATTTCAAACAATTTAATTTTTTTATGACATAAAGATAGTTTGGGTTTTTGCTTTTTGGTAGACGTTGATAAGACTATACTACAGGACATCTTTATCTATACATCTATACAAATAAATAAAATTGGAGTGTCTGTTTGTAATATTAAAATAACCGCTTTTTACTAAATGCATATGTATGTTTACACGGTACATATGCCAAAATATTTTTTTTTACAATTTTTGTCTGTCTGACTGTCTGACTGTCTGTCTGTCTGTCTGTTTGTTCCGGGTAATCTCTGGAATGGCTGGAGTAACTTAGACTACTTTTTTTTAGACTACAAACAAACGCGGGTAACACCGCGGGACTCAGCTAGTATGCAATATAATTATATAGGCCCGATCCGTTCCTGCCGGCCGTTGCTTTCTAAATATCCTGATGGTATGTTAAACGGAAGCTTTTTTTATTGTCCAGGTGTCAGGTCGAGGAGCGCCCGTGCAGTCAGCGCCGGAGCTGAGCACGCGGCGCGCGTCGTCGCCGGAGCGACCGTCCTCCAGCCTACGGTCACCAACTTTACCCTCTGCCAGTAATAACTCAGAGGTAGGTATATTTTCAACACTCATTGACATTTAATATTTTGTATTCCAGTACTTTTTCTATGTATTAACATTAAGTATGTCAAATTTGATCTGGTTCCGCATGCTGTATTTGGTTAAAAAGGTGTTCAGAGTTTTCTTCACGTTTCTCATGTTAAATAATATAGAACTTTGAAAATGAAGAACTTACATACAACTGTTCATCCCTTATTTTACCCCTTAGGGGTGAAATCTCCAAAAATCCTTTCTTAGTGAGTGCTTACAACATAAAAAGCACCAGCTGCTAAAAATTCAAGTTTGTAACCCCAGCGGTTTAGGGTCTGCCTTGATGAATCATTCAGTCAGGGTAAGAAATTTTATATGTATTGATTAAAGTGGGTGTTATTGTATTGTAGGCTGATGAGTTCCTAGAAGATATCCTATCCCTGGACAGCGGCGCGGGCCCGCTGTCGTCGTCGGGCCCGCCGTCGGCCGCGAGCTCGGTGGCGGGCGACTGCGCGCTGCTCTCCGACGCGGACATGCACGCGCTCGCCAAAGACCGACAGAAGAAAGACAATCACAATATGAGTGAGTCTCTTCTTTCTTTCTTCTTTGTAAAATTAGTGATGTAACAACTCGATATTTTACTAAATGCATCTGAATACACAATACCAAGAAAAATAAATTTAAAATTTTACCACATTTTCTGTATTTATTTATGTGCCAGCCTAGATACTTATTTCTACGGGACTTTTAGCGGCAGATAAATGTTAGTAATAATTGAGGCTACTTTTATTTAAAAAAAATATATCGTGATCTAATAATTTAATTTGAAAACGTTAGCGAAGCGGAGCGGGGCAGAGTTAGTACTTATAGCTTCCTAGCTGCGCCCGCTCCACTTCGCTAACATCTATACAAATAAATAAAGTTGGAGTGTCTGTTTGTAATATTAAATTAACCGCTTTTTACAAAATGCATATGTATGTTTACACGGTACATATGCCAAAATAACATTTTTTACAATTGTTGTCTGTCTGTCTGTCTGTTTGTTCCGGGTAATCTCTGGAACGGCTGGACCGATTTCGACGGGACTTTCCCTGGCAGATAGCTGATGACATAAGGAGTAACTTAGGCTATTTTTTTTAGACTAGCTTCGCCCCGCGGTGTTGCCCGCGGTTATAACAACAAACGCGGGTAACACCGCGGGTCTCAGCTAGTTGATTATAAAAGATTTCGCTATGAACTGATTGGCTGTCAGATTTGGTAGGTAGGTAGTTTTGGTAGGAAATCTGCTAAAATTTCAAGACCAACTCTATTTCATTTAAGGACTTTCGTACTCTTGTATTACTAAAATATATATTCTAACTGAAAAAAAACATTATTTCCAGTTGAAAGACGTCGCCGCTTCAACATAAACGACCGCATCAAAGAATTAGGGACCTTATTACCTAAGACGAACGATCCATTTTACGAGGTCATACGAGACGTGAGACCCAACAAGGGTACTATTCTGAAGAGTAGCGTAGATTATATCAAGTGCCTGAGGGATGAGGTCAACAGGCTCAAACATAGCGAGCAGAGGAGAAAACAGATTGAAATACATAATAGGAAGCTCATGTTAAGGATACAGGTATGTTTATCGCTGTATCTTGGTACTAGATTAAGGTTTTTTTAAACCAATGAGGTGGTAAACGATTACTGTAACCTACGGATATTTTTTGTGTATTCTACAATTTTACAAGATGATTTTAGGGATGAGTTCTTCAAAAGCCTTAATAGAATCACTTTATTGACCGTATGTGTGTCTTTTTTATATGGAAAAGGGGGTTAAGGACACCTGTAACTGAAGAATCCTTGCCCCCCCCCCCCCCCCTAGGGAGTGCTATTGAGAAAACAATTCAATAAAACTTTTATTTAGGACAACCCTAAGCTAGTTTTATAAGATGTCATACTTGATTGACTTCCTTCCTTTTGTGAGAGAAGTAAAAACGTGTAAAAAGAGAAAAATAGTATTGTTCTAATAGTATTGTGTTATTAAAGTAAAATTATTGTTAAAAACATTTCTGTGAGAGAAGAATAAATCAAACACTGATTACCTACAATTTTATTTTAGTTTAATTTCCATCTATACAAATAAAAAAAGCCGTGTGGTGTCTGGGACACCCGATAGGAACGAAGTTGTGACTATATTTTTTTACCATTTTTGTCTGTCTGTCTGTCTGTTTGTTCCGGGTGACCTCTGGAACGGCTGGACCGATTTCGACGGGACTTTCACTGGCAGATAGCTAATGACATAAGGAGTAACTTAGGCTACTTTTTTAGACTAGCTTCGCCCCGCGGCGTTGCCCGCGTTATAACAACAAACGCGCGTAACACCGCGGGTCTCAGCTAGTTATAACATAAATGAGCAACAAGAGGTAAGAGCACTGAAGAGTTCCACTATTCACGTCTTAGCGTCATCATCATCTGATCAGCTCTAAGATACCAATTATAATATTAAAGGAACCTGATACATCAGTTTTATGTGGCAGGAGCTAGAGCGGCTGGCGCGAGTGCACGGGCTGCCCATATCTCACGGCGAGAGCGGCTGGTCCCCGCCGCACACGGACGACTCGGGCGTGGACTGCGCCGAGCCCGCCTCCCCCGCGCCCCCCGCACCGCCCGCCCCCGCGCCGCCGCCCGCGCACCTCACATCCACTCCTGCGCCGGTCGGTTCCTAGTAGCTATTCCGTTTCTATTCAATCCTGATTTGTTAAGTATTGTTTTATTCTTTGGTAAACAGACCTGAGTTGGTAAAGAACAAAAAAAGTTGCCACACCAATATAAAAAGGGGAATATCCGAGCAGGCGAAATGATTGTCCCTGGCGAACCGTTTACTAACTGATTTATATTAAAAAGTTAGTGTGCTTTCCATAGAGATATAAGCATAAAGCCAACACGGAGTACCTGCTGCCTGTAAGTGGAAGCGATACAGGCAACGAGAGAGATGTATGCCCGATAGTTCCCACTGTCTCTGTTTAGCTAAGCTGCAATTGGCTATTGTGAAGTATGCCTAGTTTTGATCTTAGAACAGTTTCCCCAGAGCTCAACCACAGAGCTCGACTAGAAAGAGATAGAGAGAGCTATCTATTACCCATCTCTCTCGCTACCTGTATTGCAAGAATGGGGTTCTTGTTAATTCTATGCTGATATCTCTGTGGAACTTTCATTGCACGACATAGATTCAGTCATAACTATGTAGTACAGCTTATTTTCGCTAGATGACGCTGAAATATGTTTTTTTTGTCGTTTGTAACAAACAAAACACAAATCTATTTTTGCGTTATAACCACACAAGGGCTTGTAACACAACTGGAATATCATTAATTATTACAGGAACTGGTGCTTCCGAAGACCGAACCCACAGCTCTAATGGAGTTCGGTGAGCAACCCCCCGACCTCCTGCGCGATATGCCTTCAACAGAATGTCTCTCAGCGCTGGATGCTCTTGGTAAGGAACAATGCTTTATTTACTCACGCCTATATCACCGAGGGAGTAGACAGAAATGCCTTGAGAACCCATATTTTGCCAATATTGGCAATATTTTAACTTAATATAATAGGGGGCTATTAGTAAGAGAGGCAGAGAGGGCAGGAGAATTATAATTAAGAAATCAGCATCAGGTCATGTATCAGGTCAAGGTCACATATCCAAAACTTGAGCTGTGTGTGGGAAATCAGTCTGTCTTTTATAATAAATAAAAATATTTGTTTAGAGTTTTACTTGTTCTTATTCGTTTCTTTGAAGAAAGTTTTAGTCAGTTTTTTTTTGCGTGAAATTAATGCGTTTAAATAAGAAATCTTAACTATAATGGCTTTTGAATCTGCACATTATGGCGACCGAATGGCGTAGTGGTTTGTGTAACGGACTGCTATTCCAAAGCTCGCGGGTTCGATTCCTGCTCAAGTCAAACATTTGTGTGCCTGAACATTTAATGTTTGATTTGGTCTGGGTGTTTCTGTGTATAATAAGTATATATTTACAAAAAAAAAGATGTATTGATATCAGTTATCTAGTAGCCATAGTACAAGTTTTTCTTAGTTTGGGACTAGATGGCGTTGTGTGAATGTGGTATTAATTAATTTATTTATTTATTTATTATTTACAAAAAATGTATACGAGTATGTGTATACATGACATAGTGAAATTATTAAAACTAATAGGAGATTTTACTACCAATATTTCAAGTAAAAAATAGATATTGTATTGGTGTAAGTTGTAAAAGGCGGACGGAGCTTTAATGATATGAGCGAATTATAATGATAATCTTTTATTGTCGCAAAATTATACAGTTCACAAGTTGACTTTTAGTTTAGACACAAAGAAATGTATTGTGTTATACTGGTACGGGTGCTAATTCTGTTGTTTGAAAACTTATCATCATCAACAGCCTTTAATAGTCCACTGCTGGACATAAGCCTCTCCTTAGAAAGGAGGTTTTGGCCTACTATACCACGCTGGCCAGACGGGTTGGTGTAGGGTTTGTGTCAAGTTTTCCTTCTCTTTACACTGCTGTTGTCCTGCGTTAGTTCCTTTAGTCGGCTTATACGACACCCACGGAATGAATAGGGGTGGTGACATTACGTACTCGTATTCTTAATCCGTCACAACAAGGAAAACTCTTTAAACTAATTTAAAAATCACTTAAAGTTGGTTTAGTTCTGTCAGACAACGTTGCGTAGTCTGAAAACGTGGTACTTGACAGGACTAAACTATTTTTCAGTGATTTTTAGTTCGTCGTTTAAGTCCGTGTGGTCCGATTAAGAATACAGAGTATCACCACCCCTATTCATCCTGTGGCGACTAAGAGGCGACTAAGGGAGCAAACTACGCAGGACAACAGCACTGCAAAGAGAAGGAAAACTTGACACAAACCCTATATCAACCCGTCTGGCCAGCGTGGTGTAGTAGGCTAAAACCTCCTTACTAAGCAGAGGCCTATGTCCAGCAGTGGACTATTAAAGGCTGTTGATGTGATGTGTGATTTTTAGTTTAGTTTAGAGAGTATTCGGACAACGGAATCAGCACCACTGTCTCCCAAACTAAGCGAATGCTTGGGTTTTGAAGTGGCAGTGTCCAGTCGTGTATAAGACTATTGCAAAATACAATTTATGTGCCTACAAGTGAACGTTGTTGCTGTAATTCGTATAAATTTTAGTTTTTTTTTTTGCAGCAAATCTATTTTTATTTTTATTACGTCTAGAAACGTTGTTAACACGTGTTATGACGTACGTACAGTACAAGTTATACATAGTTTAACTGTAGATGGCGTTGTGTAACCTATTCCAGAAAATAATATAGATTTTATAATCTTATATATAAAATTCTCGTGTCACAATGTTCGATCCCGTACTCCTCCGAAACGGCTTGACCGATTCTCATGAAATTTTGTGTGCACATCGGGTAGGTCTGAGAATTGGCCGACATCTATTTTTCATACCCCTAAATGGTAAGGGTGACCCATCCCTAATTTTTTTTCATTTTGCAATACAACGTTTGCCGGGTCAGCTAGTAAATATTATAAAATATAACCGTTTAATATTGGAAATGTATCGAAATAATCGTCAGCTATATATCTTACGGCAGTACATAATTTGCAGACGGTCTGAAACTAGGTTCGTGTTCGCCGCTGTCGCGGGACGACGGCCTGTCCCTGGGCTGCCTCGAGCCCGACCTGTGCCTCGAGCCCGTCACCGACCATCTCTTCAACCATAAAGATATTAAGGTAAATATGGAACTTTTCTTTTTAAAGACAACTCCCGCATATGTATATATCCTGTGTTGCGGGGGACTTTACAAACATACATGAAATGGACACAAAGAACACACAGACTCAGAACAACAATTTGTGAATCACACAAAGTGTCGTCCCATGTAGGATCGAACCCACAACACTCAACGTAGTAGTGAGCGGCGTGGCGACCACTTAAACCACTACGCCATCCGTGCAGTCTGAAACTTATTTAAAAAAAATACTAGGTTAAAAATTATTAATTCCTAGCTGTACCCTGCCATGACTCGCTATAGCATATTGTGGTTGCATTGAAGAGAAATAGAAAAAAACTGACACAAAAAATAGATATAATCAATCTTTAACGTGTGTAGTATATCGGTGCAGAACTTTTTGAATTTTTGAAGCGTACGCAAACCAACTTAACATTTATACGAGGTGGAAGGGACATCGTAACGAATACTGAAATAGTGTATTCACAATTTAATAAATACCAAAAAACTGCAATGTAATTATGTCAAACAGCCAAAGCGCGCGGGAATTCACCTCTGGCCGCCGTTTTCTGTTAGTATGCATAGACTGTTTGCACGGAATACACATGCAGTTATTACTTTTGTGCGATACCTACGGAGAATGACCTTAACCTTTGACAGCTGATTGAATAAAAAGTTTAATTTTCCGGCAGAAAATTCCAATGATTTTCGACTCGGAATGATGGTCTGAACACACTATTTCAGTATTCGTTACGACGCCCCTTACACCGTGTATATGTATACGAGGCATGCCTTTTAAGTTTTGTCGTTTGAAAAAAAAAACAGAACTAGAACCTTATAGTACTTTTTATTGTTTTTCAAAGTATTCGCGAAGACCTGTTAAGGGCTGAATGTCACCTATAAAATATTAAATCAATTTGTAAAGTTAAATAAAATATCCACTGCGTTTAAATACCCCGTAATAGGGGGTAAACCAGGCTCATTATGTTTTGTTTTGGGAAAATTTAGAATATATTGATCTTAAGTGAGGGAAGGAATGGGATACCTGGGGACTGTGACTGCGAAGATCAGCGTCGCATGCCTTCAGGTTGAAATACCTGTTTCCTGACAATTCGCATGTATTTGTAAAAAGTCGAAGAGTCTGTGGTGGAGTTCTAGCAGTGCCGTTTAGTTAACAAGTGTGTGTGTGTGCAGATGCGGTTGTCTCCGAGCCCGGGGCTGCTGGGCGGGGAGGACAGCGAGGCCGTCCTCAACCTCGCGCAGATAGAAGACCTCATGGACGACGACTCGCACAACCCCGTCACACAAGGTAAGTCTCATTTAACTAATCAATTATGAACCTCAATAACCATTTTTAACGCTCCGTGTGGTGACGGATTAAGAATATGGAGTGTCACCACCCTTATTCATCCCGTGGGTATCGTAAGAGCCAACTAAGGAAGCAAACTTAGTTAATTAACCAAGTTTTTAGTTAATTGATCATTGAAAGATCAAAAGTTCTTCTGTAGGCATGCATTAACGTCAATGAATCTTTATATAGTATGAAATAAAGTCGATTTTTGTGTTTCACGCTTAGATTTTTTAAACTAAGCAACGAATTTTTATGTGGTTTTGACCAATAGAGAGAGTGATTCACGAGGAAGCTTTATATGTACATATATATTAGTAGAGGAAATTTGAGAATTTCAAAGATTTGGCGTAAAAACACATGTTTTTGTACGCTTACATTGCAAACGTTGGCTAAACCTTACGAGATATACCAAAATAATGTACTACGAATTGTGTATCTTAAAAAGGTCTACAAAAAAAGTCCACGGTGTTCCATGTCTATGTCTATATCCTAAGGATAACCTACAGTTACCATTATCTTTTAAATATTACAAAATATAATGGGTTATTTACGAAGCTATTTTAAACAATACACTATTATTCCTTATCCAATTAAATACGTTAAATACGTTTTGCATTTAATGTAAGCTAAAATTATTCTCACAGCATATCATTAAAATTTATATTTTAGAAGATATTAGAGATTTAAAATGCGGGGGCAAAGCGGCCATCCCCGCTTTGGGCCATACGTCTCCACCGGCGTTGGCTACATCGGAGCGGGTCTACAAATATTGCATATAAAGATGTTCTGTAGTAGTCTTATCATAATAATAGTACCTATAATTAATTATTCCACACTGACACCACATTAGTAGTGCCTACATTGCACCCGTGCGAAGCCGGGGCGTATCACTAGTATAGTATTATAAGGTATCTGACCGTTCCCTTCTGTCCTGTGCAGGGGACCCGATGCTATGCTCGTCGCCCACGTCGCAGCTGTGCCTCAGCGCCGTGGTGGCGGAGGCGGCGGACAGGAACATCTCCTCCATGCTGCACGACGACTCCGCCTCCTTCCCACACGCCACAGGTAATCTTGTGGATTTCAGAAATCTTTAATTTATAAATTAATAACTATTAAATATTCCGATGAGCATGCATGGGTAAAAAATTAATATTATGTGACAATGAGGGTCTAAATGTATGTACGCATGTGAAGTAACAAAAAAATTGAAATAATTACCTTTTACCAATTTTAACAACAAAATCCTCAAACAGTATCAAAGCTAACAAAATTCATCACAAATAATATGTGGTTAATAACATTACATTTAAAAAAAAAATAAAGGAGGTATACATACATAGGTAGTTCTACTGACTTAAATTTTATCAACCCAAACAGAAACAAAATTATTTTAATCCTACCTACATTCAAACATTAGACCAAATGCTATGCACACATTACAAAGATAGTAAAACACTAGATGCGATACATTATTGACTAACAAGTTCAGCTAAGCGTTGCATCTTTAATAAGTGATTAATTTAATTGTTAATTTATGTATTTCTAAATTTGACAATGGGTTACTTTTAAATGGATATAGTTAGTTTTTTTTTTTTTTTTGTTTATTTATTTTCGTTTAGCAAGTGGGCTTTTAATGTTTTTTTGAATGTATTTAAATGTCTTTTATCTTTAATAGAACTTGGTAAATTGTTAAATAGTTGAGCACTCGCATAGGTTATATTATGTTTGCCATAGTTAGTTCTAGGAGGGCGTAGTACTAAATTATTAGTACGCCGTAGTCGCCTTAACAGATTATCCTCACTTCTTAAGTGGAATGAGATATTAGTGTGTATTTTTAATAAACAAATAAACTTTGGCATTATCATATAAAGTTGTTTGAAGGATAGCAGTGTAAGTGGATGTGTTGTTCCAGGCTCGTCGTCCCTGATGTCTGAAGCGGGCCTGCTGTCCCTGGCGGAGGGCTGCCTGCCGAGCCTGCTGCTGGGCGGGCCGCACCACCACGCCCCACACTCGCCCCACTCGCACCCGCGCCAGCACTGCTTCGACATGGACCTGGGCGCGTAGACCCAACCCTGTACTGCACCACGCTACAGGTTTTCTAACGAATTTCGTCGACCGCATCGACTTTGAGCACAACGCCATCTAGGAAAATTTGTTGTCTACACACAACGCCATCTAAATATAAAACGTTTGAAGAGTTTATCAGCGACACCTATATATCTCACCTTGACGTATGATTCAACGTGTGATTTTTGGGTAGACCCTAATACAATGAAATGAATATTATCCGTTCTATGGATGCTATTTTTTTTATAATAATTAATCGGCGCAGCTTTGACAGAATATCAACAGTGACGATTTAAGAAGTGAAGTGTTATAGGGACCTAAAATAACTTTCTTATTACAGCCAAAACCAAACATGTGTCATGGCTCCACATAATTCCAAACTTTACTTATAGATGGCGCTGTAACACATTAAATCATTATAAGATACTGTAGATTCGCCTGCCCAACAGTTTAAATTAATACAAGCCTAGTACCTTGAGAAATAGAATACCAGAAAAAAAAACTACTTGTATATACCCAGAAATATATTAAAAATACTAAATTATCACACATGTAAAAATTCACGCTATACAATAAACGACGTAATGTGTCCTATACATGTACTGTACCCGAACTGAAATCATTTCAAACACGAATTAAATTCTTGGACATTTATTATACACTTCTATACTTTATACAAATAAATAAAATTGGAGTGTCTGTTTGTAATATTAAAATAACCGCTTTTTACTAAATACATATGTATGTTTACACGGTACATATGCGAAAATAACATTTTTTTCAATTTTTGTCTGTCTGTCTGTCTGTTTGTTCCGGGTAATCTCTGGAACGGCTGGGCCGATTTCGACGGGACTTTCACTGGCAGATAGCTGATGACATAAGGAGTAACTTAGGCAACTTTTTTTGACTAGCTTCGCCCCGCAGCGTTGCCCGCCGTTATACCAACAAACGCGGGTAACACCGCGGGTCTCAGCTGGTATTTAATATAATATGAACAAAGCATTTTAAAAATGGCAAAAAAGTCTATTAATTATATATTGTACACCTAAAGGTACTTTTTAATTTCTTAATTTACGTTTCAAATACATTGCTTCTTATGTTGATCGATGGCTCTGACCACTTTGGTCAAAACTTGACATGTATGACGAACAGTATAAAAAAGTTCAGGCGTTGTGTTATAATTTTGACTGTAAGGGTATAGGTAACTTAAAAAAACCAACATTTTAACATAAATATTAGAGATCTCTTGTATAAGTTTGAATGACATTGAGTGAGAGTTATTTTATATAAAATTCTCAAAGACCGCAAGATTGTAACTTGTTTTCTACAAAATGAAGTTTTATTTAGAATTATTTTTGCCAAAATATTGACAATAATGATTACCAAGTAAAATAGGTTTCTTACAGAAGTTGTCCTATACACATCATATCATGAACATTTGCCATTTTTTCGACCAAGTAGGTAGCTAAAAGGGTTATTTTCCTACTGTATTGTAATTCTAGGCGAATTACTTATAATATATTTATTAGTAAATCGATACGGAGCACTCACGCAATACCGTTGCCCGAACAGAAAAAAACTCTTTAACTCTGACATATTTGATTATTCAATTTAAACTTTTAAAAGATGGCCGAAACTCTATATTCAAACATCAATTTGAAAAATGTTGTATAGTCTATGTGTATGAATCAGGCATTCAATACGACCGAATAATATTTTTGAAAATCGAACTTATTGATTTTTTTTTTGATGTGTGGTCAGTCAGTTTAATGCAACTGGTGATTTTAAAAATAGAACTTTATAGTTTTTTTAATTGATTTAATTAAAAAGTATTTACTGTCAATATTTTTAAATTAATTCTAAATAGAATATAACGTCCCGTACCTATCGACGTTCCTATTCGCATAACCATTTAGACTTAAGATGCACGGACTTAAGACATTTCTTTGGTACGGGACTCATAATAGTGTCTCTGGTGATGATGTGTTGAGTACCGGATTTATACTTTTACTTAAGGAACTTTTAACCGTGATGAATTTGAATTGATGATGATGAAATATTTATGAAGGACTATTTTTCGTCAATTATACGTATTTAAAATATATAGATATGTTATTTAGAGTGGTTCTCAAAGTTTATTAAATAATCCCTTTTCATACAACAACAATACGTTTATAATATTTATAATTTTTCTTGAAAACTATTTTTTTAAATAACTTAAATGTTATAATGATCATATTTTTTTTATATAGAGTGTTACACAAAAGCGTGGACAACATTTTAGTTTATTTAGTCTTTCCTAGTGAAGGAGTAAACATACAAAAATCATCATAAAGATTTTTTGTTTATTTGGATGAAATTTTTACAGATAGTTTTAGAACAATCTAGATATGATATTCTTGGTAGTAAACACTTAAATTTTTACACTGTATTATTTATTTTTTTGTTTCTATTTGTCGATTTCAGTATGAGCTTTGAATTTGAAAAATCATGTTTTTTTTGAAACATGTTTCTGTAACAACTCTGCATCAAATGAATGACCATTTCACGAAAAATATTTCATAGTATAAAGGGGTTAATTTGTAAATCTTTGTTAATATTCACAACCACATTCACAACATGTATTAGGATTTTATTCTAATTAAGTCCCAAACCGAATCCCAGTTGAGACACCAAAGAGTTCATTTACATCAAGTAACTAAAAAACAATTAACAGCCTCCGAAACAACAACTGATTGACAAAAATAAAATGTATATAAAAAATCTTATGTGACATGTATATAAAATACATTTTATATAAATTGTATATAAAGTGTTTTACGATGTGTTCGATCGTTTTATACATAAAGTATTAGGTTGGTAATTGAAAATTATACAATGACACAATCAATTCATTTTTTTTCATTGATAATGATTCAAAATTAAAGTCTACCAAAGTTATTGCAATTAAATCAAAGTCAGCCTACAATTCATCAAAGCTTTTATGTTATATATATTTATAGATACAATATTAGAAAAAATCTTAACAAACAAGACAGAGTATGTTATTTAAAAAACATTAATTCTTTAAAATAGTTTTTGTCACAATTTAAATTTAAACAATGATATTACAAGTTTATATAAATATCAAGGAGTGAACGGTAACTATATACTGATATTACTGGAGAACAATTCAAATTTAAAATATAAGTAAAAATATAATAATACTGTATTAATACTAAAAAACTTTTGACACTTTAAATTAGTGAAAACTTAACACAATTATTAAATACTGTAAAAAAATTAAAGTATACAAAAACGATTCACTCCTTCATTTATTATTAAGCTATATACATACATATTAAGTCAAGCAGTATTTTATATTAATCTAGATTCATATTATTTAAGCTAAGAAATGAAGGAAAATTTTATAGCAAACGTGATGAGGTAGTTACCGACTTGATTTTTTATTTGTATCATATAATAATAATAAAGTAAGTAAAGTAAAGTAAGCCATATTTTGAGGCCACTAAATACCCCAGTGGAATTGCAGCTAATTTTTTATATAATTAAGTTGTATAAAATGCGTTTATTTTATATAACTGTTATACTTACTTTGTACTGTTGAGTATTTTTGCTCAATTCATACTTAATAAAAATGTATGCAAGATTATCTGTTTATAGCAATTTTAGTAGCGGCTCAATAATTACCGTAATATTACGGACACAGCAAAACTTTAAGTGGCGACTTTGTTCGAAAGACACTGAACTAAAAATTGTTAGAGATTTGTAATTATGATATGTTGTATACTTGTTTATACAATATCTGTCCAAAATTATATTTCAAATGTTATACAAGACTTATATAAGTATTATACAAAGTGTTATACAAGTATTATATAACTGTTGTTTACAAAATGTATAACTTGTTAATAAGAGGTGCTATATTTTTTTTGATAAAACTTTTAGCAATAACAAACTGGGATGCTACTTAGATGGACCATATTTGTATAGATAAAATCATTGTGATACGAGATATATTTTTAGATAATATTTATTTAGAGATATAAAATATATTTTTTGTATATAATTATTCTTAGAGGTTAATTCACGAAGTGCCTTTGCTTTTTAGCCAATTTAGTAGAGAAAGCTTGTATTTTATTTCTTAAATAAATGGTTAAATGTAAATATATTTGTTGAGGACCTAACACTGGTTAAGAAAACACTATATTGTTAAGTTTTTCTGATGAATTTACGATATTTCAAGTTATTGATATTTTTGAGAGCATGTGACTGGATCAGGCACATAATATGTTGACTATCGGCTATTGTAATAAAATATTTAACAAAAAAACAAGAGATTTTACTCTTAATCATAGCCGACTTTAAAAACTGATCGGGTTACCATAAAAATTGTTATTATTATGAGATTTTAAAACAAATCTTGTAATTATTTTTTGAGGAAATTTAAATTTTAAAGAAGGTAACACCTTGAAGCGTTACACTGTTACGAACAAATGTATTTTTATAATAATGTAAGTTGTTTGATGCTATAGATCCGTGAGCCTTGTCGCTGTATCGTTAGTTCTTAATGATTTTGTTAATTATATTGAATCGTGCGCATGTGTACTGTACTGTATTTCGCTCGAATTAGACATTTATAGTTTATTAGCAAAATAAACTATTTCTAATAGTTGTAATGGTTTATTCTTATGTAGTTATTCGTTTTTTTAGTTTTTCTTTGTTGTAAACTATGTATTATTAATTTCAATTGTACCACATATAATATAGAGTCAAACTGAAAAGAAACCTTAAATGAAGAACATTTTATGTTTTAAATACCATAAACAACTTTTCATACAAATTAATTGTAAAATTATATAAAATAGAATATTTAAAATAATATGGTAAATATATTACTTAGAAACAATATAATAGTGCTAATTCTGTTGTTCGAAAACTCTCTAAACTAAACTAAAAATCACTAAAAATTAATTAATTAATTATAATAATTAAAT